TACTACTACTACTACTACTACTACTACTACTACTACTACTACTACTACTACTAACACTAAACTACGACAACGCAACAAAACTACTACTACGACACAACTACTACTACAACTACTACTACTACCCTAAAATACTACTTACTACTACTACTGCTACTAGTACTACACTGACTAAACTGCTACTACTACTACAACTACTAAACCACAAAACACTGCTTTAAACTCTACTGCTACTAACTTCCATACTACACACAACCACTGCTACATTACTACTACTACAGCTACTACGACTACTACTAGTACTACTACTACTACTACTACTACTACTACTACTACTACTACTACTACTACTACTACTACTACTACTACTACTACTACTACTACTACTACTACTACTACTACTACTACTACTGCTACTACTACTACTACTACTACTACTACTACTACTACTACTAATATTACTACTGCGACGACGACGGCGACGACGACTACTACTACTACTACTACGGCTACTTCTATCTGTCCACTCCTACCCCCACTAACTACCACTAACAAACTACTACTACTAACTATCTTACTACTAACAACTACATACTACTACTACTACTACTACTACTAGTACATAGTACTAGTACTAGTACTAGTAATACTACTAGTGCTAGTACAGGTACTACGAGTACAGGTACTAGTACTATTACTAGTACAAGTACAAGTACTCACTACTACTGCTAACTACCTACTACCACTCAACTACTACTACTTTCTAACTACTACTACAACACTACACTACAACTGCAACTACTACAACTACTACAACTAGTACAGCAACAACAAACTACTAACTACAACAAACCTACTACTTCTACTTCTACATCTACTGACTACTACTACTACTACAACTACTACTACTACTACTACACTACTAACTAACTACTACGACTACTACTACTACTACTACTACTACTACTACTACTACTACTACTACTACTACTACTACTACTACTCCTACTACAGTTACAACTGCTACTACTGCGAATACTTTTACTACTGCTACTACTGCCGCTACTTCGCCGCAGCATGTCCCCTGCGAGGGGCGGGGGCTGCCCCGCGCGCTGTCGCTGAATACAGGGGCGGCAGAGGCGAGCTGTACTTGTCGCACCTCGCGAAGAGATGTCGAGTGAACGGGTGGCAATGTCGGCCTTGGGTCTGGACAGACTGCTTGCACCGCCCGCTCGTCCTCCTTATCGTCGTCCCGTTCCTTCTCCGTCCGCCTTCCTGCTCCTCCCAAAACTACGCCCATGGGATACAGCGGCGTGCCCATTACAGGGTGCCGAAAGATCGCTGCAATACGCCCACGATGGCCTCCAGGATCTCGAAGGCGCCCGGAGAGGCCTCCAAGAGCACTCCCAAGAGAGCCCCAAGAGACAATAACCATTGCTGTTCCAAACAAGGTTTGAATGGTGTTGGCGGCCTCGCCTTCTCGGGTTCTCGATTTTCCAAGACGGCCTAAGAAGGCCCCAAACCTCGCCCCAAAGCAACCGAAGAGTCCTCCAAGAGGCCCCAAAACGGACCACGCCCCAAGACGGCCCACGAGGCCTCCAAGACGGCCCACGAGGCCCCCAAGACTTCAAGGGAGGGGCCAGGCGGGGGACCCGAACGGACATTTCGAGCCCTCGGCCCCGAGAGGCCCCCAGGAGGCCCCAAAAGGCACCCAAGAAGCATCCAAGAGGCCCCAAGAAGGTCCAAAAGGCCAACAGGAAAACCCAAGAGTTCCACAAGAGCTCCAAATAGGCCTTCTTGGGGCCCCCAACAGGCCCCAGAACTGCCCCCCAGAGGCTCCCGAGAGCTCTCCGAAGACACCCGAAGAAACATCCCTGATGACTCTGACCCACATCCCAGGCACGGTGGCGGGCTCGGCCGAAGGCCCCCCTCTTTCCCTCTATCGTCTATCTGCCTTTCTGGTGCCTTTTCTGGTTCTCTCTCTATATAGATATACATATATACACATATATGTATTTGTATATATATATATATACACAGACATACATCTAGGTGTGTGGGTGTGTGTATTGTGTGTGTGCGTGTGTGCGTGTGTGCGTGTGTGCGTGTGTGCGTGTGTGCGTGTGTGCGTGTGTGCGTGTGCGCGTGTGCGCGTGTGCGCGTGTGCGCGTGTGCGCGTGTGCGCGTGTGCGCGTGTGCGCGTGTGCGCGTGTGCGCGTGTGTGCGCGTGTGCGCGTGTGCGTGTGTGCGTGTGCGCGTGTGAGCGTGTGCGCGTGTGCGTGTGCGTGTGCGCGTGTGCGCGCGCGCGCGCGCGTGTGCGCGTGTGCGCGTGTGCGCGTGTGCGCGTGTGCGCGTGTGCGCGTGTGCGCGTGTGCGCGTGTGCGTGCGCGTGTGCGCGTGTGCGCGTGTGCGCGTGTGCGCGTGTGCGCGTGTGCGCGTGTGCGCGTGTGCGCGTGTGCGCGTGTGCGCGTGTGCGCGTGTGCGCGTGTGCGCGTGTGCGCGTGTGCGCGTGTGCGCGTGTGCGCGTGTGCGCGTGTGCGCGTGTGCGCGTGTGCGCGTGTGCGCGTGTGCGCGTGTGCGCGTGTGCGCGTGTGCGCGTGTGCGCGTGTGCGCGCGTGTGCGCGTGTGCAGCGTGTGCGCGTGTGCGCGTGTGCGCGTGTGCGCGTGTGCGCGTGTGCGCGTGTGCGCGTGTGCGTGTGTGCGCGTGTGCGTGTGTGTGTGCGTGTGTGCGTGTGTGCGTGTGTGCGTGTGTGCGTGTGTGCGTGTGTGCGTGTGTGCGTGTGTGCGTGTGTGCGTTTGTGCGTGTGTGCGTGTGTGCGTTTGTGCGTGTGTGCGTGTGTGCGTGTGTGCGTGTGTGCGTGTGTGCGTGTGTGCGTGTGTGCGTGTGCGCGTGTGCGTGTGCGTGTGCGTGTGCGTGTGCGTGTGCGTGTGCGTGTGCGTGTGCGTGTGTGTGTGTGTGTGTGCTTGTGTTTGTGCTTGCCTTTGTGTTTGTGTGTGTGGTGGAGGCTTGGGGGGAAGGTTATGGGACTTCTGCAGGACAGGATCGGGAAAGTGCCCGGAAGGAAGGGGAACGAGGGGGAGTGGGTTAGCAAACCCAAGTGTCTTAAGCAGCAGTTTAGGAGTAGACAGGTGGAACGAGGACAACCCCAGGTAATGAGAGTTGGGGGTAGGACGAAAACAAATCGGAGAGGGGAGGTAGGGTTAGAAAGTGACTGACACGTGGCCGAGTGATGGGTATGGAGAACAATGTTGTTGGCGGTGCCAGGTGATCCACTGTATACGTGCAAACATATTGCATACGGCGCAGGGGGGTGCAAGCGAACTATCGTGTCCTTCCAGGGCGACCCCAGCGACAGAACACAGCATCGATAGCGGATAAAACGGCGCGCCCAAACAGGCATCCGTAATGGATGGGCCAGCACACCACCACCCCCGATCACAGAACGCAAAGCGGTAGCAGCGGCTTGCGCGCCGGGTTTGGCCATCCCACGTCCCCCGTTGAGCCGCGCACCAAAGATCACTCTTACACAGTCCGCCGGGCGCGTTCCACGGCTCGCAGAGTGCTTACTCGCAAACGTCCGAAAAATGCATGCTCGCTCCGACGTAGCGGGTCGTAAATCCTCCCTGGCGGAGCCAGGCCATTTGCGAGCAGCTACTTTGCGAGTAGAGGAACGAGCTTGTCTACAGGATCACTCTTGCGTATATACGACCCCATGCCAGGCGCCGTTCTGAGCATTCCCTTGCTTGCTTCCAGGGTGCCCTGGGTTTCTTGGATTTCAAAGGTTTTGCATTGGAAAGCGTGATGCTCCCACACCAAAAATCAGTAGACGTCCTGGGGTCTCAGGGTTGGATTTCTTGTGGGGGGGTTCTGATGGTCGAGCTCCTACTGCGCCGGTCCAGTGCCAGGTGCTTCTGTGAGGACCCACCCGAGCCCGTGAGTGTGGCCGGCGCGAGGGGGAAGGATCAGCCACGCGCAGAGGGGGGTGGAGGGAGGGGGGAGGACTTCTTAGAAGCACCCCTGCTTCTTAGAAGGGGCGGCCCTTATCTGCAGATGCAAGGCCGGCGCCTTTTAAAAAGCAGCCTCCTTCTACGAAGCCCTCCCCCTTCCCTCCACCCCGTTGTGCGTGCCGCCATTCCTGGATGGGGTCGGAGCACGTGGGGTCGGAGGATCGCGATGCGGCTCGATGCGGAGCCCGATTTGCTTCACGTCGATGTCGCCGATGCATCTGCGATGCGGCGCGATCCTCCGGCCCCATCTACTCGGACCCCATCTAGAAGGCCCTTAGTGGTGACCACACCGTGTGGTGAGTCGGCGAGGATTCGGGGTCACCGCACAATTTTGTGACTTAGGTCGTTTTTCGAGGATGTCTCGGGCGATTGGGGCCTCCGAGGTCCCAAAACCGTGTGGTGACGGACCCTGTGGTGAGGTTCTTGTGGATTTCGAGTTCACCGCCGGGTCTGTCACCACACGGCGTTGGGACCCCCAAGCAGGGGCTCAAGACGGGGGTCAGAGCAAAATCCGGATCTTGCAGGATCTTGCAGAGCCAGGGCTGCACCGATTTGGGCTTGCGTGCAGGATCCTGCGGGCTCTTGCAGGATCCTGCGAGGCCTGACTGGCCCAGGTTTAGATTGACCTGGGTCTGTAGATCCCTGAGGTGGCGGGGCGGCTACAGAGCCCCCCCCAGAGAATTTGGAAAATCCCGCCAGCCTTGTAGGGCGTGAGTGGTTTGGGGAGCTTCCTCTTCCACCCCCTCCCTTATTCCCCTTCGGGGAGGGGTTCCCCCCTCCCCCAGACCTCCCCCTGGACCTGGACGTGGGGGGGCGCGAGGGATTGGAGTGTCCAAGAGGGCCTCGACGAGGAAGCCAAACTCAATGATTATATGAAGGGTTTGGCCACACCATGGCCTCCAGGGGGGACGACGCAAATTAAGGAGCCCGAGATGGTTCGCTGCCTTGATGGTTGTGTCGTCATGTTCCCAACTTCTCCCCCCCCCCCCCTCGAGGCGGTATTCTCCACCTGCATGACAATCATCAAGCTGAGTGCCCTGTGCCGACAGTACGATGACATCCAGAGCTTCACCAGCCGCGCTCACCATACACCATTCAAGGCATATGCCCAGCAATGGGCGCTATCTCCTTCTCGCGTTGTAAGTGATGCCATGCTCCCTTCATTTCGCTCAGCATCCAGTGTTGGTCGTGGCGCCGGCATTTCGTAAGTACGCTGGTTAAGACTGGCGCTGATGGATATGGTCGCGTTTTTTTAGACTGCAGCTTAAGGCATACTGACGCGAGCGTCATGTGCCAGATGAGTCATTGTGCTAGTTCCCGTGTGCCAAATCACTCTGTACGCACAGCTCGTTGGGCTGATTGTTGTTGCGAACGCATTCACGCATCAGTTTTAATGTGTTGCATATGTGTGCGCACATAGGTGTATTGATCTCCGCATATGGTCCCACGCTTGTTGGTGTCAGCGTTGGAGTTTGCTTGTTTGCATTGGAACCCTGAGCCCCCCTCCGTCTCCCACATTCGCCCCTCATTCCCTCCATTCCATTCCTCCCTCCCCTACTCCAACCCTTCTCCCCCACGTCCCCTCTTTCGAATCGTGGCTTCCCGCGCAGGGAGGGGAAGGGAAGGCGGGGGGGAGGGGGCGGCGCAAATGGGCGTGCTCAATCACATGTTCGGCATCAGGTGGACATCGGCCGACTAGAATTATGATAATTGTATGTCCTCTGGATGAGGAGCACGGCAACGGCTGTGAAGGTACCACCACATTAAAACATGCAAACACGGAGGAGGAAGACAAACAAGCAAGTTAGGGGTCTAAGTCCTCCTCGGGGGGCGGCAAAAGCTGCCGTCTGCGCTCCCGCGCACGAGCCCCGAAGTTCCGAAGGACTCAGCCTCCTCTCGGGAGCTGAACGCGATAAGCGCTAGACCGCGCTGAAGGTCGACGCCCGCCCCGCCCCACCCACCGCCGCCCGACGAAGCCGCCAGAGAACCTCTGGATAGCGGAGGCACACGGGGAAGCGGGTCGTCCAGACCCATCTTGCCCGACAGGTATCCGCGGGCCGTGTCCGATAAAACGGTGGCCCGAGAAACCACACACTCTTTCTATGATTTTTGGAGGAGGAGGAGGAGGAGGAGGAGACGTACGCGGACGGCGAGGCCAGCAGCGGCCCCCGCGGGCGCCCATGCGTTCCGGGACGCTTCGCGGAGCTTCTGGGCAGCGGGGCACTTGGCCCGCGCACGGCCCCCGACGCGCTCGCCGGGCTTTCGGGCGGGCGGGGCAGACAGAAAGACAGAAGCCGCGCCCTGACGACGCATTGGCACACAAAGCTGAAGTCCTGATCACATACGTACCGGCATGCAGAGAAAAACGCAAGATTGCACAGTGTTTCGGGAACCATCGTTGTAGCCTGTCCAACGAGGTGCGAAGGGGGAGGTCTCACAATCTCTGGAGGACGCAGAACCGAGCGCCCGCAGATCGAGGAACAGAGCACGGCATAAACATGATTTCTCGGAGTTCCGTGCGGATTTCTTGGATCGGCACGGGCTCCAGCGCCGATCCAAGAAATCCGCGCGGACCTCAGAGACTGTTTCTGTTGTTGTCTGATCATATAGAAGATGATCCGATGGGCCAGTCGGGACTATGCCTTGCGATTGCAAGGCCCGCTCCAGCCTAGCATCGTATCGCACGCGAGCAGCGTCGGTCGTCATGTCCGAATCATTCGGCGACATGGCACCGTCACTCCTCAGCACGGAACTCGGAGCAACGATGGAGAGTCGATGTTATAGTGGTTTGGTGAGCCCGCGGGGGGCATTGACGACGCACCGTTGCATGCGTCAGCGTTATTATTGTAATCGTCCGGTTGGGCCAGAGCCTTCCGATTCCAAATATGCAGCATTTGTCGACGGAAGTTGCATGTGTTTGTAGCCCCCTCCTTCAGAAGGTTCACGCGACGATGCCCCGAGAGTCAGCGAGATGGAAGTGGAATCGGGGATTTGGGTTCTCAAGGCACCTGCAGTCCCGCTCACGCGCGCTGGAACGAGCAATGGGGCGGTGAAGGACGTGCTCGTGACACGGCGGCGGATCCACCTCTGTCTGCTAGAGGGCTCGAGAATTGCAGTCCACCCGCATAGTAAGGATGGGCAAGTTTCCCAAAGGTACCTTTGCATCCTTGCCTCCTCGTTCCATCCTTGGCCACTTTCGATGGCCGCGCCCCGCTCGAAAAGCTTCGAAACGGCCTTCCAAGGCTCGTGCATCCTTATCGTGCATCCTTCTTATACGGGTCGACTGTGAGAGTTGGCGGGCAGAAACAGAGGCGGTGGAGCAGAAGGCACGGACTCGGTAACGGGGCGGCGGCCTCTGGCACCAAGGAGTGGTGCAGCATTCATTGAGCGGTGCGGCACCCGGCTTCGTCGCCACAAGGGGCACCCGCGCAAAGGCAATCGTAACACAAATCAATCCAGCTCATGCCCGTCCATTCATCTCGGTGTCCTTTTCTTTTTCCTAACCCCCCCCATTGTTGGGTTCTCGTTTTGTACAGAGCACTGTGGTCGCACCCCTTCACCCCTTCTCCTATCCTTCCCCCTCATCCTGCCTCCTCCTCCTGCCTCCACTGCGCTGATCCCTGGGCGGCTGCGAACCTCGCAACTGACGCCACATTCGTAGGCTCCTGGGGGGCACGGCGGAGTCGGGGAGTAAACGGACCCAGCCGAGACCTCGCAGATCCTTGGGGGGGCTGCGAACTGCGCAATTGTCGCCAAGTTCGTGGGCTCCTGGGAGGCACGGCGGAGTCGGGGAGTAAACGTACCCAGCCGAGACCTCGCAGCTCCTTGGGGGGGCTGCGAATGACGCAATTGTCGCCACGTTCGTTGGCTCCGGGAGGCACGTCGGAATAGGGAAGTAAACGGACCCAGCCGAGACCTCGCAGCTCCTAGGGGGGTTGTGAATTGCGTCATTGTCGCCACTGTCGTTGGCTCGTGGGAGGCACGGCGGAGTCGGGGATCGGGGAGTACGTGGACCCAGCCGAGATTTCGTTGTTCCTTGGGGGGCTGCGAACTGCGCAACTGGTGCCAGCGGAGTCGGGAGCCACGTGCACCCAGCCGAGGCGTCGCTGGTCCCTGTGTGTTGGCTGCGCTCTGCGCAACTGTCGCTAAGTTCGTGACCTCCGGGGAGGTCCAGCGGAGTCGGGGGCCACGCGCACCCATGCGAGACCTCGCTGCTCCTTGGTTGGCTACGCTCAGCGCAACTGTCGCCACGTTTGAGACCTCCTGGGAGCTCCAGCGGAGTCGGGGGCCACGTGCACCCAGACGAGATCTCGCTGCTCCCTGGGTGGTTGCGATCTGCACAGTTGTCACAACGTCCGTGGGCTCCTGGGAGGTCCAGCGGAGTCGGGGGGCCAGGCTAACCCAGACTCCAGACGAGAACTCGTTGATTCTTAGAATTCTGCGAAAGTCGCAACTGTCGCCACGTCCTTTGGCCCCTGGGAGGTCCAGCGGAGTCGGGGACCACGCGGATCCAGCCGAGACTTCGCAGCTCTGTGGAAGGCTACGAAGTGCGCAAATGTCGCCGCGTTCGCAGGCTTGTGGGAGGCAGGGCGGAGGTGAGGGCAGCGCAGGTCGTGCATATCTGGCGATTTGCTCTTTTGTATGGAGCGGTCAGGCAAATATTCGCCTCGCGTGGAGATGGGGTGTTCCCCCAACAATCCTGTGGTGTTGAGCATTCGCTTTGAATCAGCAGCGCTCCGCGTGCCCGCTCCTCATCTCATTCCTCGTCGTCGTCAGCATATTTATCATGCAACAGCATCAGTATTATCATCATCAGCAGCAGCATCATTATCGTCGTCGTCATAAACGCCATCACCATCACCCGCCTCTGCATATTAATATGCGTCTGCATCTGCATCATAATCATCATACTTATCATCATAATCATTGGTGTTCTACCGCTGCTGGCGGAAAACCGGGGGGGGGTCACTACCGGTTCGACCCCCCCCTCCCCTTCCGGAAAACCGGGGGGGGTCACTACGGGTTCGAACCCCTCCCCCCCCCCAGTTCATCATGAAAAAGGGGGGGGGTCACTACCGGTTCGAACCCCCCCCCCACCCCCCCCCCTCGAAAACCGGGAGGGGTCACTACCGGTTCGAACCCCCCCCCCCTCCTCGAGAACCAAGTGGGGGTGCGGACAGTGGTGGGGACGGTGGTAGTGGGGACAGTGGTGAGGGGACAGCGGGACAGTGGTGGGGACAGTGGGACAGTGGTGGGGACTGTAGTGGTGGGGACTGTGGTGAGGACAATGGTGGGAACAGTGGGGACAGTGGACAGTGGTGGGGACGGTGGTGGTGGGGACAGTGGTGTGGGGACGGGGAGGTGGAAACAGTGGGACAGTGGAGGGTACAGTGGTGGTGGGGACAGTGGTGAAGGCGGTGGCGAGGACGGCGGTGGGACAATGGGACAGAGGTACAGTGGGGACAGTGGTGGGGACAGTGGGGACAGTGGTGGGAACAGTGGGACAGCTCAGTGGGACAGCGGAGGAGTCAGTGGGACAGTGGGGACAGTGGGGATAGTCGGGCAGTGGTTGGGGCCGTGGAGAAAGTGGGGAGAGTGGAACCGTGGTGGGAACAGTGGTGGGGACAGTGGGGACAGTGCGACAGTGGTGGGAGCACTGGTGGGGACAGTAGGGACGGTGGTGGAACCAGTGGGGACAGTGGTGGTGAGGACAGTGGTGCTGGGAACAACAGTGGGGGATGTGGCGCGGACGGTGGTAGGGACCGGGAGTCGTTTGCTGGCGGTGAGTGGGGGGGGGGGAGGGGTTCGAACCGGTAGTGACCCCCCCTTCGGTTTTCGAGGGGGGGGGGGGAGGGGGGTTCGAACCGGTAGTGACCCCCCCCCCCTTTTCGAGGAGGAGGGGGGGGGGGGTTAGGGGAGGGGGGGGGGGGGGGTTGCTGGGGGAGAGGGGGGGGGGGAGGGGTTCCAGCAGGGGGGGGGGGATTTTCGGAGGGGGGGGGACCCCCGGGTTCCGGAGGAAAAGCGTGGCAATTTTCCACAGTAAAGCGGCGGTGGATCACGCTCTCTCTAATCATTATTAGCAGCATCATCAGCATCAGCAGCAGCATAGTCATCATCAGCATCATCATCAGCAGCACCATTAGCATAAACACTATCATCATCAGTAGTATCATCATATTCCGGTTCGTCATCGTCTCCATCGTCTTCACCGTCGTCATCATCATCATCATCAACAGCATCAATATCATCAGCATCATCATCATAGTCGCCGTCATCATCATCCTCATCATCATACGCATCATCTTCATCATCATCGTCATACTCATAGCCATCAGCATCGTCATCGCAATCGCCATCGTCATCGTCAGCAGCCTCACCGTAAGCAGCAGCGTCATCGTTAGTATCATCAGCAGCAGCATCGTCACCATGAGCATCATCAGCACCATCAGCATCGCCATCGTCGTCATCATGATCCGTAACTGAAAAACAAAGCATCAGCATCATCATCAGCAGCAGAAGCACCAGCATGTTGGTCATCACCATCATCATCAGCAGCACCATATCATCATCACAACCATCGGTGTCATCATTATCTTCATTACCAACACCACTATCGGCATAATCAGCAGTATCAGCACCATCACCATCAGCATCATCATCATCATCATCATCATCATCATCATCATCATCATCATCAGCGTCATCATCACCATCAGCATCATCATCACCATCGTAAGCATCATCATCAGCATCACCATCATCATAACCATATGTCGTCATCATCATCAGCAGCAGCAGCATCATCAACATTACCATCATCAACATCATCGCCAGCAGCAGCAGCCTCAGCATCAGCTCCATCATAAGCATCAGTCACAGCCCAGCGCACTCCTTAGACTTCACACGTTTCGCAGCCCTATAGGGCGCTCATCCGAATGGCCCCAGTGGGAGGGTACGCATGGCGCCGAGGTACCCATTTCGGCACCCCTCACACGTTTCGTGGCCACATAGAGAGCTCCGCGGAAGGTCCCAGCGGGAGGGTCCCAAATGCGCCGCCGCATCCATTTCGGCACACCCTTCACACGGTTTGTGGCCCCATCGGGAGCTCCTCCGAAGCCCCCCGTGGGAGGGTCCGCATTTCGCCACCGCACCAACTTTGGCACACCCTTCGCACGCCTCGTGGCCCAATCGGGAGCTCCACCGAATGGCCCCGTGGGAGGGTACGCATGGCACCACCGCGCCCATTTCGGCATATCCCTCACACGTTGCGTAGCCCCACATGGAGCTCAACCGAAGGTCCCAGCGGGAGTGTCCGCATGACGCCACCGCACTTATTTCGGCATATCCTTCACACGGTTCGTGGCCCCAGAGGGGGCTCAACCGAAGGCCGTAGTGGGAGCGTCCGCATGGCGCCACCACATTCATGTCGGCACATCCTTCACACGCTCCGTGGCCCCATCGGGAGTTCCACCGAATGGACCCGTGGGAGGGTACGCATGGCGCCACTGTGCCCCTCACGTCTCGTGGCCACAGGGAGCTCACCGAATGCCCCCGTGAGAGGGTACGCATGGCGCCACCCCACCGCACCCATTTCGGCATATCTCTTACACGTTTCGTGGCCACATAAAGAGCTCCGCCGACGGCCCAAGTGAGAGGGTCCGCATGGCGTCACCGTACCCTTTGTCGGCGCACTTTTCACACGTCTCGTGGCCACATAGGGAGCTCCTCCGAAGGCCGTAGTGGAAGGGTCCGCTTGGCGCCACCACACCCATTTCGGCGCATCTCTCACACGTTTTGTGGCCCCATGGGAGCTTCGCAGAAGGCCCCAGTGGGAGATTCCGCATGGCGCCACCAGCATGGCGACACCGCATTCATGTTGGCACATCCCTCACACTGCTTGTGGCCCCATAGGGAGCTCCACCAGAGGTCCCCTTGGGAGGGTTCGCATCGAAGGCCCCAGTGGGAGGGTACGCATGGCGCCTCCGCACCCTTTTCGGCACACCCCTCGCACGTGTCGTGCCCCCCCTCCTTCGTTCCACCTGCCTCGCGATACTCGCAGCTGCATATGGTGGGGTCCGTCTCCAGGAAATGTGGCTCTCTCTCTCTCTCTCTCTTTCTCTCTCTCTCTCTCTCTCTCCCTCTCTCTCTCTCTCTGTCTTTCTCTATGTTTCCCCCTCCCCACCTTGCCGTTTATCTCCCTATCTGCCTCTGTCCTCCCGCCGCGCGGGCGCCTCCGAGCGGCTCGCTGCGCCCGCCTCCCCGATGCAGGACGAGGCGAGCCAATCGAAGATCTGCGCGGCATACGGGCTGTACTACATGGCGACCGGGAAGTGCCCGTGTTTGTCAGTCGAGGGTGTGGTGTAAAAGGGAGGAAGAGTGAATTGCAGAAACAGCACACCCTCTCGGCATACTACCGTAAGGAACAACGTGTGGGAGACCGTGCGGGAGACCGTGCGGGCAGAGCGTGCGGGGGACCATATGGGAGACCATACGGGAGACCATACAGGAGACCACACGGGGGACCATACGGGAGACTATGCGGGAACCCGTACAGGTGACCATGCGGGAGACCATGCGGGAGACCATACGGGAGACCACACGGAGGACCACGTGGGAGACCACACGGGGGACCATACGGAAGACCGTATGGGAAACCGCACGGGAGACCGTACGGGAGACCGTACGGGAGACTATACGGGTGACCAGACGGGAGACCTTGCGGGAGTCCATTTACTACAGCCGTTTGCAGGTTGAATTGTCTGGCCCAGGTGCATGCCCTCAAGGCAGCGCATCGACATCCCCGACTGGATTCCCTCGCAGCATGCTTCGGATCTTCGCGCATGTTGAGGCCATGGTGAGACCATGTTGGGGCACTCAGGTCAGGACCTCACCATCCCCCCGCCGTGATTCCTGCATGGCAGGTTCAGATCTCGTTCATGTTGCCGCGTTGAAGCCACGTTGAGGCCTCAGGAATGAGCCTCAACATCCCCCCGACGTGACATCCCCAAATCAAGCTTGGATTCTCGGGCCCATTTTCAGGCCATGTTAAGGCCCTCGGGCCACGGCTCACTATCCCCTTGACGTTAAATCCACACAGCAGACGGAGCCCGTGTTGAGGCCATGTTGAGGCCACGCTGAAACCCTGTCGTCATGGCCTGAACATTCCCCCGCATGGACGCCTGCAAACTATGCTTAGATTATGGGGCCACGTCGAAGCCCTGCCGGCAGGGCTTCCCATCTCCCCGACTGGATGCCCGCATAGCTCATGTGGAGTATGGGGCCATGTTGAAACCATGTTGAAGCCCTGAGCCTTCAACATCCCCCAGCTGGACAATTGCAAAGTATGCTTGGATTCTGGGTCACGTTGAAGCCATGTTGAATCCCTGCCATCAGGGCATCAGCTTTTCCCGCAGTTGGAAATCCGCACAGCATGCGTGGATGATTGGGCCATGTTGGAGCCATGTTGAAGCCCTGCCGTCAGGGCTTCAACACCTCCCGACTGGAAATCCGCACGGTATACTTAGATGCCGTGGCCATGTTGAAGCCATGTTGGAGCCTTGCCGTCAGGGCTTCAACATCCCCCCGGCTGGAAATCCGCAAGGCATGCTTAGATGATGGATTATGGGGTCACGTTGAAGCCATGTTGAAGCCTTGCCGCCAGGGCTCCAACATCCTCCCGACGGGAAATCCGCAACGCATGCTTGGATTACGGGGCCATGGTGAAGCCTTGTTGAAGGCATGCATGTTGATGCCCTGCCGTCAGGGCTTCAACATCCCCCCGACAAGAAATCTACACAGCACGCTTGGATTATCGGGCCATGTTGAAGCCGCGTTGAAGCCCTGCCGCCAGGGCTTCAGCATCCCCCCGACTCGAAATCCGCAACGCATGTTTGGATTCTGGGGCCACGTTGAAGCCGCGTCGAAGCCATGTTGAAGCCTTGCCGCCAGGGCTTCATCATCCCCCCGATTGGAATTCTGAAAAGTACGCTTGGATTATGTGGCCATATTGAAGCCGCGTGGAAGCCTTGCCACCAGGGCTTCAACATCCCCCCCGACTGGAAATCCGCATGGTATGCTTGGATTATCGGACCATGGGGAAGCCCTGCCGAATTGGGTTATAATATTATTGAATCGCTTCGCTCATTCCGCCGGCCCATACGGTCTCATGTCTGCCGTTTGCCCGAGGGCCTGGTGTCAATGCGGCGCTTTGGGGGTTCCTGGGGCCGCTTGGGGGACTCCTGGGGCGCTCGGGGGGGCATTTGGGGGGCCTCCTGGGGCCGCTTGGGGGACTCTTGGGGGCCTCCTGAGGGCCTCGTGGGGGCCTCTTGGGGCCTCTTAGGGGCCTCGGGGCCTCGTAGGGGCTTCTTAGGGCCGAGGGCGCGAAATTTTGTTTCGTGTTCCCTCTCTGGGGCCCCTTTGGGGGTGTTCTTGGGGCCCTCTTGGACCGTCTTGGAGGCTTCTTGGGCCGTCTTCGAGCCCTCTTGGGCCATCTTGGGGCCCTCTTGGGGGCCTCTTGGGCCCTCTTGGGGCGATCTTGGGGGCCTCTGGGGCCGTCTTGGGGCGTCGGGAACCGAAAAGGTGGAAGCTCCAAAATCTCTCAAAAACCTAAGGAAAAACAATGAATTTTGCCTCCGGGGGCCCTCTTGGGAGTGCTCTTGGAGGCCTCTTGGGGCGTCTGGGGGCTATCTTGGGCGTCTTGGAGCGATCTTGTGGCATGTCGGACCCCTCGTGTACCATCTTGGGGGCCTCTTGGGGGCCTCTTGGCCTTTCTTGGGGCTCTCGGGGACGTCTCGGAGCCCTGTTGGTGCGCTCATGGAGCGCTCCTGGAGCGCTCTGGGGGACTCCTCCCGGGACTCTCTCAGGACCTTGCCGGGGTACTTTTCGTCCGGGGACCCCCAGGCGCCGCCCCGCGCGCGCGAACTAGAGAATTCTTAACCAGTTACCGGAGATCTTAGCACGCCTCTGGCCCGTTGGGCCGGCGAATTTAAAGGGCATGCGTGCGGGCCTCGACATGCACCTTGCAGGGTCACCGGGGGGGGCGGCGGACGCGGCCGGCTGCCACGTGCCAGTATCATAATTCGGCACATTTCCCAAAGTCGGACCCCCCGTGAGGTAGCGGAAGGCGTTATGCTCGCCGTGCGGCCGTATCCCTTCGAATACAAATTCGGCCAAGGCACAGCTGCCTTCCCATTAGCAGTGCTTCCCCAAGTGCAGGTTGGCGCGGATATGCACGCAATGCCTCGTTTTCGTGGAATCCTCCATCGTGGTGCTGAGCCCCTTCGCCTGCAATCCGACCACGACCGATTGTAGGCAGACCACGACCCTGTCGAACAGCGGCCTGAGGACTGCGTCGTCCTGGGAAGCCCAGTCGCCGTTCTTGCTGTCGTGCTTCAGCTGCGTGGTTTGGAAATTCCAGACCCTCCCGCCTTCGCGGGTCCGCAGTCGGCGCCAGCGCGATGGCCTTGCGCACGGTCCCCTCCCTCTTCCGCCCAGAGGAGACACCCTTCGTGCTGACCCCCCTTTGGCGCTGCCTGCGGTAACGAGAGATCTTCGGCACCGCCACGTGCAGACTGACTCTTTTCGGCCTGATTTCCAGGACGTGTCGCCGCACCGTGCCGTGGCTGGCGCTTGTGGGTATGCGAACAACTTGCGCCACATATTGTTCACGACAAAACTTCACGACATATACTGCACCGGATAGATTGCCGTTTGTATGCGCTTACATGTGTAGTGCACCACGCATGCTGCACCCATCGGGTGAACATCGAGTGTACGTACTGACTGTTGGGGTCTTCTCTGGCAAACATGCGATTGTTGAGCTTCCCTGACCAGAGCTAACAAGGCGGGCCACTCGCTCGACCTTTCCTGACCACCTTAGCTGCCATGATATGCCCGTCCTGTAACGCAGCGCGTGCCGTGTTCAAAACGTCAGTGTTGACACGTTGCGTGTTGGTTCGGCACGTGTTGGCCCACGTTTTGGCGAACCTGTCGCACCAAACGTGCATTTTCGATTTCCATGTTGAGCTCCGCGTCAGCACGTTACGAGTTGCGTGTTGCGTATCGGGGCGGCTAAGCCCACCACGTCCCCGCAGGTACAAAGAAGCGTCGTTCAGCTTCGCACAGGTGAAGCAGCAGGACACTTGGAGACGCATGCGGAAGGGAAGTCGAAGCAGCCAGAAGAGTGAAAAATGCCACGCGTTGTGGGTTTCAGATGTTGTACAGGTTGCGGCCGGGGAGATGATCAAGAATCCAGTGTACAGAGGAATTGCACGAGGGTCAATACCCGCTTCTATTGTGACGGCGGTGCTCCCAACACCCTGACATTCTGACGCTTCGCGTATCCCCACCAGCGTCCGCTGGAATCCGCGGCAATCTCGCGCCAATTAATGACGTACCGCGCCCCGGACGTTGTGCTCGCTCCCTGTCTCTCGCCTCGGAGCCGCGGACCAAAAAAGTATCCCCACCAGCCCGCTGGCGCTCTCGCCTGCGGTCGCTGACTAAAGTATCCCCACCAGCCCATCCAGAAAAGATGCACAGGGGAGTTTGGGTGATCAGGGAAGTGGGGGAGGATGCAGAAGAACAAAGGGCGGGGGAAGCCGTCATATACCCCAATAGGGGGAGGATGGAGAAGGAATCGTCGTCGGAGGAGGAGGAGAAGGAGGAGGAGGAAGAGGAGGAGGAGGTGGAGTAGAGTCTGGGCGCCTCTTGGGGCCTTCTTGGGGCGCTCTTGGGCGCTTTGGGGGCCGTCTTGGGGCTCTCTTGAGCCTCGTCTGGAGCTGTCTTGGGCCATCTTGGAGCCATCTTGAGGCCTCGGATGGCCATCGAAAGCAAAGAAACGAGAAAGCAAACATCATCGATGTTCCGTAGGTGTTTGAAGGATGTTGGCCGCTTGGGGAACTCTTTGGAGGTCACGGAGGCCTCTGGGAACCGTCTTGGAGCATCTTGAAAGCCGTCTTGAGACATCTTGCGTTATCTTGAGTCATCTTGCAGGTCATCTTGGGCTTTCCGAGGGGCTCTTGGAGCCGTCTTGGGTAAACCCCTCCCCGAAGTGGAAGAACTGGATTGGCAGAGGAGCCTCCCTAGACCACGTACGCCCAGAGGGCTGGTGGGATTCATTCATGCCACGTGCATGATTCTACACGCGCTGAGCTCGCACGGAAGACTTGACAAGTTTAGCCGTTTGGTCAGGCCAGAGGGTGCATCTTCGTGCGTAGATCATCAGGTTTGGACGAGGTGTGGAAGACGTCCTTCTGAACGTTGATCGGCGGTTGGGAGAAGGTTTGCCGCGCAATTGTGCGTATTGTGGGGCTTCTTCAGGCCAGCACGCGTGTGGGACACAGCCCTCGTCCTTTTTGCTTCCACTGCCGCCTGGCAGGCTTGGAAACTGGGGAGGACAACGGACACGTGTGCGGGACGAGGGCGTGAATGCCAGATGGAGGGGGGCGGAGAGGGTTGGAGCCGGAGCTGGGGGCTGAGGTGGCCGGGCGCCGGTTCCAGACAGCAGACCGGGGGAGAAAGGGGCCCCCTAGTCGCCACGGTTGGATGTGGCTCGAAAGACTGGGTCACGCTCTTCCCGGAGGGGCGCTCTGGGCACCGATTTTGAGCGAGTTTACCCTCGTCGGAAGGCGGACATGCCCCTCCACAGGAGGCTATTCAAAAATAGTGAAAAAATCATGTGAGGACGTATTTCGATTAATTTTAAGTATTTCTCTGTCTTGGTTGTACTTTCAGCAATGAGGGCGACGAGGATGAGGGAAAAGAGTCCTGGACGACAAGGATGAGGAGGCATCTCAAGAGATAAAAGAGTTCAGGGGGAGAGGTGCCCTGGATGTTGTGTCTCCAGTTTGGGGCTTCCAGGGGGGCCTCCCGGGACCCAGTGGCCGTCAAGCAACGCTCGTGGATGAGGAGTTGGTCCCAGGGACAGCCCCAGACTCCAAGACACGTTTCCACCAGGGCGCCTAAACAAAAAAAAGATTTCTGTGGGCGGCGCGCCGCCCCCTCCCCCCCCCGCAGGACCTTGGGTCGACGTTCTCGGACGTCCTGTGTGCCCAGGACATCGCCCTCTACGGTGTCCTGTGTGCCCTCGCCTCGCTGGACCGGAACGAGGTCTGACCACAGCTTGGATTTCGGGCAATCAGACGGATTCCCCCCCAGGGGGCCGGAGCAATCTCAGGCGTGAACGGGCGAATGGGGGCGAGTTGTTGCCAAACACATTCGATGTTGGGGTCCTTCCACTGTGTTTGACTCGGGCCAGGAGTGGCCTGAGGTCTGGACGCCCGAATGGGCACGGAAAGAATGGGTACGATGCCCAACAGCAGTTCCTGTTCATTTTGAACAGGACTCGCTGTCCACGCCGCCGCGGCCTGTGTCCGTTCGAGACAGAAGGCCGCCTGCCCAACAGCGGCCGCTGTTGGTTTGGGACAACATTTGTTGTTGGGCATTGTACCCATTCTTTCCGTACCCATTTCGGGCGTCCAAATGAGGTGATTTCCGACAGGTTTTTTCCTCACCCCCAACTTGTTCTGTTCGGCCTTCAGCCGAGGGTATCCAAGCCAGTGGAAGTTTGTCACCAGCATGTACAGCAACACATCATATTGTGAGATCTGACAACTCTTGGACGTATTGTCTCTGAAGATGGCGTGTCCAGTGCGTAGGCGTCGGCACCTTCCCATTTCGGGACAACGGGCTAGACATGGGATGCTGCGCGTAGCACGTTGTGACGAGTATTAACGCGCGATTCGCATTTAACGCCATGTTCGTGGTATCTGGCAGACGCTTTCAGTGTACGTAGGTTTCGCCGCGCAGGGACTCCTGTTCGTTGGACCTCGGTGCAATTGCCCACTCTACAGCACGACTGGGTGCTTGAGCATATGTGCGATTATGTTTGGCACACATCGACTCGGCGCTGGAGGGGGGCAGCCATGGCTGAAATAGGTTGTGGTCTTGACGCGCTCCCCTTCATTTGAGTGGTGATCCCTGGGGGTCGCGTGGCAGTGGATCAGGGGGGGCAGCCGTCACTCTGAAGCTCGCGATCTGCCTGTGCTGACCCAGGGATCAAGTACGAATTCATCATCGGATCTTTCGATATGGGAGCCTCTTGGCAACTCGCTTGGGCCGTCATGAGACCCTCGCGACGCAGTGTTGAAGACCTCTTGGGCCCTCCTTGGGTCGTCGTGGGAGCCTTGGGGGCCATCCTGGAGGACATCGATCGAAGAAGGAGGGCAATCAGGCTCGCCCCCCTTGAGCTCGAATACATGTCCCAGGAGCCCCTCTTGCGGTCGCCCTCGGGGGGCTCTTGGTCACTCTTGTGGGCGTCTTGAGGACCCCTCTTGGGGCTGCTTGGAGCCATGGTGGAGCCATCTTGAGGCCTCAGAGGCTCATCGGAAACGAAAGTCCAAGAATTCAGAAATAATACGGCTTCCTTCGGTATTGGATCGGGAGGGGAACAACCACACACACAATTCATCGTCTCTTCCCAGGAAAATATGGAAAGTAGGGGGGTAACGAAAGCCCAGAAAATATGGAAAACTGTATGGGAATCATGAGATTTGTGCCTACGTATTTGTGTGTCCCTGGGTCCCTTCATTGGAAGGATTGTGTTGGCATCTCGGCAGCATCTTTGGGAGGCGGCGTGGCCACTTAAGAGCTGTCACTAGCAGCCCTCTTGGGGGCCGCTCGGAGGCCATCGGGAGCCAGACTGGTATCGTTTGTGCCATCTTGGGTCCCATCTTGTCGGCGGCGAGCTAGGGGGGCACATGAGAAGGAGAAGGCCTTCTCAGAAGACGGCGGGGCTCCTCAGAAGCCCTCGCGCCTTCTGAGACGGTTTCGCTGTTTTCGGGAAAGGCTTAGAAGACTTCTCAGAAGGCCGGGGGACTTCGAGCCTTCTGAGAAGGCCTTCTCCTTCTCACTTCCCCCCTCGCTCGCTCCCGATCTTGGGCCAATTGAGGGGCATGTTTGAGCCACTGCTAGCGCTTTGACGCCTTCCCGCTCCCTCCGTCCAGACCCAGAGGAGGGGGTAATACATAGGGGGCTATGACCCCCCGAAGAAGAAAAAGGGGGTTGCAAGAGGAACTGCCTTAGACCACCTCAGCCCAGAGGGCCGGTGGGGTTCTAGGCGCGTCGCGTCACCCCTCCCGCCCATCCAGAAACCATGCTCAGGCGGGTTGCATTTATCAGGGAAGCGTAAAGGCATGCAGTGGAACAGTGAGGGGGGGGCAGCCGTCAAAGCGAAAACGTGTATCGGCCTGAGCAGACCCAGCTGTGAGCCCCGCATATGCATTCGCGCGCTGTCGAACGAGGAGGAGGCGGAGGAGGAAGACGGAATGTTGACGGAGCGTGTTCCCACATAGTTGCTGGTGAGGACGAGGCAGAAGGAAGATGAGTTGGGGGGGAAGAGGACTCGAAAGTGGAGGAGGAGGAGGAAGAGGGGAAGGATGAGGGGGAACGAAGGCGACGGCGACGACGTCGACATTGCTTCAACCGTAGAGGCTTTTGCGGTTCTTGGATCCTTCTAGGAGTTTTGGGAGCAGTCTTGGCGCCTTCTTGAGGTAAGTTTGCGAGCCTCTGACGCGATCAGGACGCTCTCTCGGGGCCCTCTATAGAGGGCCCGTTTGGCCGATCTTGGAGGTAATCGAGCAACACAGGGGGCGGCGCGGATTAGGGCCGCCCATATTGCGCCTGAAGAGTAGCTGCTCGGGTTCCAGTGGGGCGCCAATGGGGCCGTCGTGGAGCCTTCCTGGATCTCCCTTGGGCCATCTCGGAACAGCCTTGAGGCTTGAAGAGCGCATCGGAGGCGAAGAGGCGAGAACGTAAAATGCATGTGTCCCTGAGGTGTTAGCAGGATTTGGCTCCATATTGCGGAGGCCTTACGGCCGGTGCCGCCGACCCTGAAGGGGATCGACGACAACGGCGGCGGCGCCGACGACGCTGACGTGGGTCAGCGTCCTCATGGATGCTTCTTGGGGTCTCTTCGAAGCGCTCTCGAGGGCCTCTGAGGGACAGTTCAGGGGCCTCTTGGGATCCTCTTGGGGGCCTCTTGGAAGCCTTTTTGAGGCCTCTCGGGGCTTCCTGTGGGCCTCTTGGCGGCTTCTTGGGGCTTCTTGGGGCCTCTTGGGGGACGCCCTCCCAAATGGTCGCGAGACCCCGTCCAGACCCAGGTGAGGGGCTAAGGGGACGGATAAACCTTTCTCTGGAAGGGAAGAAGGGGGTTGGACGAGGAGGCGCCATATACCACTTTCGCCCTAAAGGCCTGGTGGGATTCAAGCGCCAAGTTGAATAAGCGTTAGAATGGCTTTTTAGACGATTGGACTTCAGGCCTGGCGACCTTGTAGGTGGAAGATCTTAGTACCGTACTGCAAGACCAGTTTGCTCCCAGGTCCAGTCCAAGCTTCTGGACTCCGCCAGCTTCCAGGAGTGCCTCGACCTCGCGCCGTCGATCCGTGACGTGGCGCTGGACTTCTGCAATTGCAGGTTTTTCGCGACCCTTCTTGCCGCACCTGACGCGTCATATGACCGACACTGCCGTTGAAACTAGCACGTATGCTTCCATCGCAAAGTTGTACACCCCTACTCAAAAGTTGCACGTGATCTGGAAGTCCACAGAGTCTGCCCAGCGAACACGTTGGGCTGTCGATGTCGTTATTCCCTACCTAGGCTCTGCCTAGAAGGGTTCTTACTCTCTGGGCTTAAAGGGGCCGGGCAGTGGAAAGCGCCCCGGGCGGTTCCCCCAGTATCCGCCCCGCGGTTCCCCCAGTTACGTCCCCTTAGCTTAGCGTTGCTTATATCAGCTTAGCTCAGCCTAGCTTAGCTTAGTTTAGCTTAGCTTAGCCTAGCCTAGCCTAGCTTAGCTTAGCTTAGCTTAGCCTAGCCTAGCTTAGCTTAGCTTAGCTTTGCCTAGCTTAGCGCAGCATAGCATCATCATAGCATAGCATAGCATAGCGCAGCATAGCATAGCGCAGCATAGCAGAGCAGAGCATAGCACAACACATCATAGCATAGTATATCATAGCATAGCTTAGCTTAGCTTAGCATAGCACAGCGCATCATATCATATCATATCATATCATAGCATAGCGCAGCAAATCATAACATGACATAGCATAGCATAGCGCAACATAGCATAACATAGCATAACGTAGCATGGCGCAGCATAGCATAGCATACCATAGCATAGCGCAGCATAGCATAGCATAGCATAGCATAGCGCAGCATAGCATATCATATCATAGCCTAGCATATCATAGCATAGCGCATCCTAGCATAGCATATCATAGCATAGCGCAGCATAGCATAGCATAGCATAGCATAGCACAGCGCAGCATAGCATAGCATAGCCTAGCATAACATAGCGCAGCCTAGCATTCCCTAGCATAGCATAGCATAGCATAGCGCGAACGAACGCAGCATGGCGCAGCATATCATAGCATAACATAGCATAACATAGCGCCGCATAGCATAGCATATCATAGCTGCACTATTACTACTATTACTACTACTACTACTACTACTACTACTACTACTACTACTACTACTACTACTACTACTACTACTACTACTACTACTACTACTACTACTACTACTACTACTACTACTACTACTACTACTACTACTACTACTACTACTACTACGCTACTGCTACAACTGCGACGATGAGGAGAAGGAGGAGGACGGCGTTTACCGTTACTACTAATATTGCTCTCCTCGGGGCTTCAACTCCTAGGTAGGGTCGCTCTGGGATAATTGTTATTGTGGGGGGCAGAACCGTGGACACGAGAAGCAGAAGGCCATGCAGCCATAGGTCTAGTATAATTGCCAATTGTTGTTCTGTCCTCTCTGTGCCTGTGTCCTGCCCCTGCCCTGTCATGCCTCGTGAGCGCCGTTTCGTTTGCCTCGTGCCCGTGGGCGTCGCCTGCCCGCGTCTCCCCACGTGCAATCGTCACGACAGGACCGCCGCAGTAGTGGCCGGTGTTGACGGCGGTGAGGTACGCAAGCTCGAAGCATCGATTTCACGTAATGACCCTTCGGTGCGGGCTTCAGGGCCCCCCCCCAACGCACCAGCCAGCACGCTTGGATTTGGCTCCCTGCGCGGCCCCCGGAAGCCGCGCACTGCAGGTCACTCTTGCCCATGGTCATTCTTAAGTGTGGCCGGTTGCATTAGATCCGGCCCCGAACCAGACCTCTGGATCAATTTTGGTGGTCGCCGCGGCGATCGCGGCGGCCACATATCGGGGCAAGAGGTTTGGTCAAACAGGGACATGGCCACGAGGGGTTGCGCGGGCGATCGTGCTGCCGCCGCCGCCACCGCCGTCGTCGCTTGCAAGCGATGGCGGAGGTGGCGGCGGCGAAGGTGGCAATGACGATGACGCCAAGTGTAGTGGCGTCTGCGCGTCTGTGGGACGACAGTGCAGTCAAGGCGCTGAGATATGGACCACGGAGGGCTCAGGAGGGGCTCTGGTTTCCCCGCCGTTCCTTTGACCTGGATCGGGGCACCTACATGGTCTTCCAGTCGATATTTTGACTTTCATCGGGACGCCTGCAAGCAGGACGCTGAAATAGGGACCACTCCGTGCATAGGAAGGGCGTTGGTACTCCAATCGTTCCCTTGACATGCATCGGGGACACCTACATGCAGGACGCTGAAATAGGGACCGACTTGTGCGCATGAGGGGTTCTGGTTCCCCAGTCGTTCCCTTGACCTGCGTCGAGTGCACCCGCTTGCTGCCGAGACCCCCCCGTGGCCAGGAGGGCCCTCCTTCGTTTCTTCGTCTTTGCATCGCTCGGACGTGTTCAATTGTGTTCGGCGAAGACCATCGAGGAGCCTCTTGGGTCATCTTGCGAGAAAATGCACGCACGAAATCATACAAGGTACGGTGAATGGGCGTCCGAGCGATGGCGAGTCGTCTGCGTGGCCCTGCGGTAGCACGACGGTTGCGTGGTGCTTGCGCTGTTCCCCTTTTGCCCCCCCCCCCCCCGCCTTCGCCGAGTGAGCGCTGGAGAGGAGGATCAGGAGAAGGCCCCCCTCCTCCTGATCCCCCCCATCTGGCTTCAGGAGGGGGGGGACCAAACTCCTCCACCGCAATCGTTTCGAGTGGCCAGAGGTTTGTTGGGATTTGGGCCTCAGATCGGCGGCAAGCCCAGGGGGGAAGCGAGATGGGGGGGGCATTCTCAGAAGGCAGCGACGCTTCTCAGAAGCCCTCGCGCCTTCCAAGGAGCCCTGGAAGCCTTCTCCGAAGCCACGAGCGGCTTCTCAGAAGGCGCGGGGGTTTCTCATAAACCCTCGCCGCCGTTGAGAAGGCCTGCCCCCTCTCGCTTCCCCGCTGGGCGCGCCGCCGACCAAAAGTCGACCCCCAGACCTGTCTTGGGGCGTGATGGCCAGAACTCTTGGGCGGGTCGTCCAGCCGTGTCGACAAGCACGCTCAAGAACCTCAGCCTTTCCGCCCCAGTCCCTGGAGGCCCCCCCCAATCTCTATCAAGGGAGGAACAACCACCCCGACCCTGACAATTGGCGTTCACTAAACGGCCCTGGGCGTTTAATAAACAGCCCTGCCCTGTTCGATTCCTTCCATGGGTGCGTTGACTAAACGGTTTCGCTTGTCGGTGTTCTCGTTATGGGGGTGGAGTCTCTGCTTTCTACTCTACGCCTCCCAGATGGGGTCGGAGAACTGCGCCGCATCGCCGATGTATCGGCGATGCGGCTCGATCTGGAGCCGTATTTTCTCCACGCCGACGTCGCCGATACGTCGCCGGCGTCGCCGATGCACCACCAATTCATTGCGATGCATCGCCGATGTATCGTCGATGTATCGGCGATGCGGCGTGATCCTCCGACCCCATCTAGTCGGACCCCATCTAGGAGGCTTTTAATCACAGATATCCGACGAGATGATCTGTTCAATCTCGGCTTTTCCCATCGATTTGGACCTCCAGGGCGCGTTCTCGGACCTTTTGGCCGTCAAAAGCGGATCAGAGGCGAAAGCCCAATCTCGGCGAAGGGCTCCAGCCGGACGGGGCCAGGACGGGGATAAATCCGTTCCACAGCGTTCCGCAACGCTTTCGGAGCGTTCCGGAATATTCTGAGAGGGCCGCGGCGCCCGAGGCATTTTCCAGAGCCGCCAGATCTCAGAGATTTTCGAATCCTCCTCCCCCGAATTTCATCCTCGTCCTGACTTCGTCTTAGAATCAGGGGCGAAAACGCCATCTCGGAAACTTGGTATCGCTCGGACCTGTGCATTTTTCTCGGCGGGGGTCATTGAGGAGCATCCTCGGTCATCCTGCGGAAACAAACACACACACACACAACACACACACAACACACACACACACACAACAACAACAACAACAACAACAGCAGCAACAACAACAACAGCAACAACAACAACAACCACAACCACAACAACAACAACAACAACAACAAAAGCAAGCACGCACGAAACCGAAAAAAAAACACGGGGAATGGACGTCCGAGCGATGGGGAGAGAAGGGCTCCAGACCTCGTCAGTTCCACGTCATGCAACAGCATCGCGTTCTGGGGTTCTGGGAAGGTCCCCGAGGTCTCCTTGGACTCCAGAGGGCCCCCCAGGAGCTTGGGGGCGGCCAAGAGGGGGGTGATGACTAGGGGGGGTGGATATCATGGCGGGGGCCATGATATCTCCCCAGATTTGATGGCGCCTCTTCTTTTTTCAATACGTCCCTGGCCCCCCCCTCGGGCCGCGCATATGCCGCCGGCCATGATTTGCGCCCCCCCCTGTTGGACGCCACCCTCTTGGCCGAACCCGAAAAACCTCCAGGGGCCGTCGGTGGGGCCAGTAGCACTCGAAAGTCTCCTCCTCCTCCTCCTCCTCCTCCTCCTCCTCCTCCTCCTCCTCCTCCTCCTCCTCCTCCTCCCCCCTCTCCCCCTTTGCATCGCTCGGAGGTGTGCATTTTTTCCTCGGCGGGGGCCATCGGGAGCATCCTGCATCATCTGGCAAAAAGCACGCACGAAACCGAAAAATGCACGGGGAATGCACGTCCGAGCGAGCGACAGCAAGCCCCCCTTTTACCCCCCGCCCGAGGTACGCGGCGTGCCTCACCTCCCTGGAGAGGCTCAAGGATCGGAGGGAGCCAATTATACTCTTGCGCCAGTCTTGGCCTGGGCGACCCTGGCCCCAGCATCGGTGCTGATGAGATCGAAGACGCCTACGGCGACCCACCGCGCCGATGTGGCCAAACTTTGTGTCCAGAGCTTGTACAAGCTATCTGACCATGTGCTCCCCTGGCAGTTGTGGAAACGCTTGAGGGAATTCGTAGAAGACTTACGAGGAGGAGGAAGCATGTTGGGAGCATCCTGGGACATTGTTGGGGCCTCCTGGGAACTTCCTGGTAGCCTTTTGGAGGCCTCTTGGGGCCTCTTTGGCCTTCTTAGGGCGTTCCTGGCCCGTCTGACGCCGTCAGAAGCCGTCTTGGGGGCTTCTCTGAACGGATTTCAGGCCCTCTTCAGACAGGTGCCAGAGTTTCCTTAAATTGCGAACGCGCCATTTTCAACGCGAGCCGCATCATCGACTTGCAACGTCGGACCTGTCGTGGAACCAGACTAGAAGCAAGCAGGAACCCTGTAAGTTCACAGGGTTTCGCGGACATGCAACGTCGGAACCATCGTAAAACCAAGCTGGAACCAAGCAGGAATTCCTTGTAAATTCATAGGGCTTCGTGGACTCAGCGTCGGAGCGATCGTGAAACCAAGCTGGAACCACGCAGGAACCTTGTGCATTCAAGGGATAGGCGGAACCACCGCCCTCGGACGCCGGACCCTGTAAAACGACAGGGATCGACGAGGCGGTCTCGCAGGCCCACGGCCCATCCGTGCCGCTCCGCCCCGGATCGGACGAGGGGGCGCACCTTTGGATTACTATCCAAAGAGTGCCGCCTGGGCCCGAGCACGTCCTGTAATCGAAGACAGTGGGGAGCGGCGAGCACCCCCCGCAGTCGGAAGCAGTGGGGGGCGGCAGTGCGACGCATTAGTGTTTCTGCTCGGCGCGTCGCGGCCCCGCTTGTGCTCCGGGGCGCGCACCTCGACTGCGGTCACCGTGATCAGATCCCGTGCGCCCGCCCGCTCCCCGGAGCTCGGGTGCCGGGTGCCTCAGGGCCGCTTCAGGGCCGCTGGGGGGCCATCTTGGGCGTCTTGGAGGCCTCTTGTGGACCTCTCGGGGCCTACTTGGCGGCCTTCCCGGCCGTCATGGGGGCCATCTAGGAGGCCTCTTGGGCGATCTTGTGGCATCTTGGGCCGTCGGAAGGCCGAAAAGAAGTGAATCCCCAAATCCTGCAATAAAACGATGGAAGTTCACAATGATTCTGACCTCTTCGGGCCGTCCTGAAGAACCTCTTGGAGGCCTCTTGGGCCGTTTCGGAGGCATCTTGGGGGCTTCGTGGGCCGTCTTGAGCCATCTTGGAGCCATTTTGAAACATCTTGGTGGCTTCTTGGGAGGGCTTGGAGGCATCTTGGACCCTCTTGCGCCGTCTTGGAGGTCATCTTGGCCAGCTTGGAGGCCATCTTGGCCGTCTTGCATGCAGGGCATACCAGCGTCTTGGATACCATATTGGAGCCATCTGGAGCGGAAGAACTCTTGCTTCCCTCCCCTGGGCGAGTTTTCCGGGTGGCCAGCGGGCTGGGCAATGACCGTATATGTTTTCCCAGATATTTTGGGCCACTTCAGGCATACTATTGTCGCGTTGGTTTAAAAGTGGGCCGAGACCCCACTGGGAGTTTTACAAGAACCAAAAACCACCAAGAATTCAGCACTCCGTGCACCCCTGTGGCAAGCAGCGGGGGCGGCGGATGACGGAAAGCGCGCGTAGCGTCGCGATCCGTTTTTTTTGTTGGGGAAATAACACGGGGAGTGCGAGGGGGGTGGCAGGACCTGTCCTCAATCTAATGGCCCAAATTTCGGCCACTGCCGACCCAAAGATGGCCCAAGACGGGGGCATCGTGGTTTGTCTTCCGCCTGCCTGCTCCCGGAGACGGCCAGTGGGTTACAGCACCGGCTCGACAAGAGCCGGGCGCATTCGCGCAGGGCTCCCGTCCAGCCACCGCCGAAGGCGAAGGCTGGGCAGCAGGGGCGCTGAGCTGGGGTTGCTGCTCGGGCGACAACGGGCTGGTCCTTCTGGCTCGCTCGCTCGCTCCGTCGCCGCTCGGGGCCCCCTTCTTCAAGCTTTCGCCTGCCGCCTGCACTCTCGGCGGCCGCCTCGGCGCGGCTGTTGGGGCCTGAGCCCGCGCTGCGCGAGCCTGGCCCACAGCTAAGCAAATAATGGCCCCACTACCTGTGATCACATGCGTCCCGCGCCACGCACAGCGCTTCGCGGTCCCACGGGGAGCTCCACCGAAGTCCCCAGTGGTTGTGATAACATGCACCATGCGCCACCCAGCACGGCGCGTCGTGGCCGCATGGGGAGGTCCACCGAAGGTCCCAGCGGTTGTGATCATATGCGTCCCGCGCCACCCAGCACGGCGCTTCGTGGTCCCATACGGAGCTCGACCAGAGGACCCAGTGGCTGTGATCACTTGCGTCCCACGCCACCCAGTACGGCGCTTCGCGACGTCATAGGAGTTCGACCCAAGCCCCAGTGGCTGTGATCACATGCGTCCCGCGCCAACCAGCACGGCGTTCCATGACCCCATAGGGAGCTCAACAGGGCCCCAGCGGTTGTGATCACATGCGCCCCGCGCCACTCAGTACGGCGCTTCGTGGCCCCGCAAGGAGCTCCACCGAAGGCCCCACTGGCTGTGGCCACATGCGTCCCGCGCCACCCAACACGGCGCTTCGTGGCCGCATGGGGAGGTCCACCGAAGGCCCCAGCGGTTGTCATCACATGCGTCCCGCGCCACCCAGTACGGCGCTTTGTGGCCCCATAACGAGCTCCACCGAAGGCCCCACCGGCTGTGATCAAATGCGTCCCGCGCCTCCCAGTACGGCGCTTCGTGGCCCCATAAGGAGCTCCACCGAAAGCCACATTGGTTGTGATCACATGCGTCCCGCGCCACCCATTACGGCGCTTCGTGGCCTCATCGGAAGCTCCACCGAAAGCTTTATTGGCTGTGATCACGTGCGTCCCGCGCCACCCATTGTCTTGGCCCCATAACGAGCTCCACCGAAGGCCCCACTGGTTGTGACCACATGCGTCCCGCGCCACCCCTCACGCGCTTCGGGGCCTCATAGGGAGCTCCACCGAAAGCCCCACTGGCTGTGATCACATGCGTCCCGCGCCTCCCAGTACGGCGCTTCGTGGCCACATAAGGAGCTCCACCGAAGGCCCCACTGGCTGTGATCACATGCGTCTCCCCCCGCCAATGTCGGCACACCCCTCACGCGCATCGGGGCCCCATGGGGAGCTCCATCACAGGCCCCAGTGGCGACGTTCGCATGCGTCCCCCCTGCCCATTTCGGCACACCCCTCACGCGCTTCGTGGCCCCATAGGGAGCTCCACCGAAGGCCCCAGTGGCGACGTTCGCATGGCGGCCCCGCTCCATTTCGGCACATCCCTCACACGTTTCGTGGCCCCATAAGGAGATCCACCGCTGGCGATACCCACAACGGCGATATGCACAAAACTGCATATGGTTGGGCCCGTCGCTGGGATAACTTTTCTCCGTGCGGGGCCCCTTGAAGGCCCGACAATTTCCCCCATGGGGCCACTTGTTCACCCCGGGCCGTTTGCTTGACGGTCCAGGGGCCTGGCGGGGTTCCCCAGAGGCCGAAGCCGGCTAAACATTTCCCGCCGTGACGGCTTTACGACGCGAGCCTGTCTGGAATGCTAGAACGAGGACCGTCGAGCTGGTGCCCTTCCTTGAGATCCGACGTAGCGAAAAAAACAACATCGTAACAAAAATCGCGCCCGCAGCCCTAGACCCCATCTTTCTGCGTCATTTTTCGAGCAGGATCGAACTGTGAGGGCCCCAGGGCCCGAAAACAGGCGAAAACCCGCGGCTCGAAAAAGTGGAGCTGCCATGATCTCGGGGTTCCCCAACGAGAGGAGGGACTGCTGCTGGACGTGCACCTGCACGGCCAGGTGGCGGACCTGTGCTTGCAGATCCGGAGCAGAGGCGCCCCCTCTCGGCGCGACTCGTGCCCCGCCGCGAGTTCACGGTTTCCCCTGGGGCCGTAGGTGACCCGAGGAGGAGGAGGAGGAGGAGGAGGAGGAGGAGGAGGAGGAGGAGGAGGTGGAGGGGGAGAAGGAGATGGAGGAGGAAGAGGAGGAGGGAGGAGGAGGAGGAGGAGGAGGAGGAAGAGGAGGAGGAGAAGGAGGAGGAGGAGGACGGGTCGCCTAAGCCCTTCGGAGAAACCCTCCAGCCGCGAGGAGCTGTGGCTGCTGGGCTGCGCTGGGCCACCCGGCAACCATCCCTAAGGGCTAACGATTTTTCGCCAATCGACTTGTGGGAATCGACCCAGATAAATCCAGGCAAGTGCAGATAAATCTTAGCAAACGCAGATACATCGAAGTAAATCCAGGTACATCCAGATAAACCCAGGGAAATCCAGAGATCTTCAGGGACAGTTGGAGCAAACTGCGGCCGCTCTAGCGCGAGTCGAAGAAAGGCAGAAGTCGTTAAGCCTTTAACGAAGCCAGGGCCGCCTACGATGTTCGATTCGCTGGCTGGGGCCGCGATTCTCGGCGGCGACATCCGAACCACACCCTCGCCGATCAACGAGTCAGGCAACTCGATAGGCGGCGGCAGTAGGGTTCGGAATATGTTGAACACGTGGCGAAATCCGAAGCCTCCCCCCACCTCCCATCGATGCAGGAGAATCGATGGTTGGTGGGGCAGGGTTCGGATGTCGCATTCACCCGCATCGGCAGGTGGCAGCTGGAGCCCGGCGCGGCAGTCCGATTTCGATTCGATTCGGGACGATTCGCTGGTGATCCGATCCATATCCGAGGTCGCGATTCGATCCAGCTCAGGCATGGCAACCCAGACATCCTCACGTAGTGAAAACGTTACGACAACAGGTCTTTGGCCGTTTTCGGCCGCCGGGGGCCCTCGCCGGGCTGCAGGACCGTCAGGAGGTGCCCAGGATGAAGAACCGGCTCCACGGTGGCCAGGGTCGGGACTCCCAGGAGCCTGCACGGAACAAAAGCGAAACATCACATGTCGCGGAATAGACGACACTTTCACAGGGCCCATTTGGATCCGATCGATCAGATTCGATGCCGGGTTCGCTTGGCTCGATCCGATTCGATTTCGACTCCCGCCCGACCTGGAGCGGCCCGTTGCTCACGCGGCATGTATTTGTGTATCTGGGCGCAGCCGACCCGACTCGATTTCGTCCCAATCCGACGCACGTTCCGCTACGATCCGATTCTAATTGATCCGGCTCCTTTCAAGGCATCTGGGGGAGCTCGCCCAGCCCTGGGACCGTCAGATACGACTCGGGATAAAAGGCCGGGCGTTGGGAAGCCTTGCGCGTGAGGCATCGTGCAGGCGTAAATGTTAGAAATGTGACCAGGACAAGGACAGGGAGTTCTCGCAATGTCCAGCACAATTGTGTGTACACGCGCACTGCTGCTGGCCGGCATGCGCGTGTGATGGCGATTGCCGACAAAATCGTCGCAACACCTTTGAAATCTTGCGCACATGGAGAAGACAGGAGCAGAGGCAACAGGCAAGGAGCGGAGCGGGTTAGAGGCGGGAGCAGCGGGGGATCGTAGAAATTGGCCGAACAGCTGCAGCTGGGCCTCACATGGTTCAGCGTTGGGTCCCCCTGGCGGTGCCTCCGTCGCCGCCCCTTGCGCGCTCCGTTCGCCAGGCAGGGAGGTCTCGGACTGTCCTAGAATCGAGATACAGTAGGGGCGCGCATCAAGGAACAATCTGCTCTTCGTCAGGGTACCCTTGGTTTCTTTGCTCCGCGGCCGGCAGAGTAGCCGCTGTGTTCAGGGTGCTCCAGGTGTCCCTTCAGGTGCACCTCGTGCGGGGGTTTTCAGGGTTGGATTTCTTGCGAGGGTTTCTTGCGACCGCGCCCGCACTGCAGATCCGTTCCAGAGCGTTCCGGAACGCTCTCAGAGTGTTCCAGAACGCTCTGAAACGGCCGCGGCGATCGATGCATCCGCCAAACCCGCCGAGTCTCAGAGATGTCATGTGTATCGGTTTGATTATGTCTCGATCCTGCCTTCGTCTCTTTTTTTAGTCCGAGCGGACCTCCGAAAGTTTATGATAATGCAGTTGTCTGTTCCTCTACGCCCGTCGGATCGCAGAGGCCCTTGGGCTCATAAAACGTAGACAGGGTGGCAGATTTACCCATCGGTCGTTGAGAGTAGGTATTTCCCGAGTCCTAGATCCCAATCTACTTCAAGGGCATTCCTAAGTCAAGAACCGATGTGTTTTTTGTTTGTTTGCCATTTCATGGGTGGGCCCGAACCCAATCTACTTCATCCGCCTGTCTACTTAATAGTTCTATCTTCTTCTTCTGACTGGCGGTTACTGCTCGCGCCCAAAACTCCTGGAGGTCGGAAAAGGGTGTAGTGTAAATGGGTACGACCCGATCACGCCGTATTGCGAAGTTACCATCGATACGTCACGTTTTGCGCATTGAAGATCTCGCTGGCACGCACATCATTCACTTTGCAGCTAATTAGCGTGAATGGGCAGTCGAGGGAATTGTGCACTTGAAGTAAAACTTACGAAATTCCTGGATCCCGTTTTGCGATACCGGAAATACCGAAACTTATTGTTGCAAGTATGTAATGTTTGGAACGTCGTTCCAGAAATTCTCGAAATTAAAGTTATTTTGGAACAATCGCAGTGTTGTTTCCGAATATTGGGAGTAGTTGAATGTGTCTTCTGGTGGTCGGCAGTGGATTTGCAAATTCATTTGTTTTGTTAGGTATCTGAATTTTAGAAAACATGTGCTCGGCGATAGGAGGTCCGAGAACGGGTATGTTGTCGCCAGTCAGGTTGGACGGCAGTGATTTAGGGGAGTTCGCATGTTGTCGTCGTTTGCTGTGATCGTCACGAAGCCAGCGCGGTTGAAAGCATAATGCATTTGATGTTGTGCGATCAAAGGTATCATCGCCATTGCCATCGCTGGCACCACACATGTACAGCACACCCTTGTCTGGCCTGTCGACAAATTGAAAGGCCTTGCAGCTGCTTAGCCCAGGAGCATGACAAAGAGGAGGTGAGGGTGGCTGGGATCGCCCTTGCGCCCCGCGCGTGCTGTTCCTCCCCCGAGCGCGCGAGGCATAGTCCAGTACTTCGCGCCCTTCATCTCTGCCCTGCCCTCAGATCTTTCGGCGGCTAGCCTGCGGGGGGGGAAGTGCTAAGGGGCGGGCCTGCTCAGAAGGCTCGGAAGGCCTCTGGCCTTCTGAGAAGTTTCTGAACTTTCCCCGAAGTCACAAACCTTAGGGTGACCAGTGGCGTTCTTGAACGTAGAAAACTAAATACGTACGCGACTCGGCTCAAAAAGGGACCTGGCGGGCGCCGCGGGCAATTGAGGAAAACAAGTCCAGGAAAAGAATGGTAAATCAAGTAGGCGCCCGCCAGGTGCCAGAGGACGGCACTGACCTTAGCAATGAACCTTCTAGATACCATAATAAGATCAGATCATAAATGTCAATGGTCGCGCCGCCTCTGTAGGCGCAGTGCATGCAAGCGGAAAGCGCAGCGAGCGCCATTCGTGAGGATAGAGTGGCACTGTGAGGAGCAGTTCTCGGGTCGTTGCCCAGGGTTTCGGTGTACCCCAAACCATAAGTACTTACCTCCCCAGTCCCCATGATGTAACCCGCCCATCCCCCTTCCCAAGGCTAGAGTGAGGCTAGCTGCGCGCTGTCAAGCACGCTGTGAGTAGACTGGCCCTGAGGGCTGGCCTGACGTGCCAGTGTGGGCTTGCAGGTAGCACTTTCTCGTAAGCGTCGTGAGGCTTGCTGAGCTGCGTGCTGTTAGGCGAAAGTAAGCCTTCCTCGCGATGGTCAGCGTGTGGTTGGCTGTGCTGCATACTGTCGGGCGAAGGTGTGTGCTGGCCCTGCGGGCTTGCCTGTGATAGCCTGTGGAGATACAGGCTTGCAAGTTGCACGGATAGTGGAGACCTGCTGCAAGAGATGCACAGAGATCGTAGCCGCCACCTGCATAACCCGCCCATCCCCCTCCCGAGGCTAGAGTAAGGTTGGCTGAGCTGCGCGCTGTCAGTCAAGCTGTGAGTGTAGGCTGGCCTTGAGGGCTGGCCTGTCTTGCCAGTAGAAGGGCTTGCAAGATGTTCTGTTTCGGGCAAAGTAAGCCGACTGAGCTGCATAATATCAGACAGCAAAAGAAGCCAAGAGTCAGAGTGTGGTTGGTTGTATTGCACGTCGTCAGGCAAAACGATCAAGTAGACTGGCCTTGCGGGCGGGCATGTCATAGCCTGTGGGTATGCAGGCGTGCGATTTAGCGCGGCTGCTGCATACCTATTGCTGCAGGAGAAGTACGGATGATTACCCCCCACTAAACGATCCACCTCAACAAACCCGTCCCCATCACCCTGCATGCACCTCTGCACATGCTGTACATAAGGCAGAGAGAGAGAGCTTGCTGGTCAATGGCATGCAAGTAGGGGTGCGGCTGAGCGTAACGGAGTCAGGGATTAGCCGACTTGGAAGACATTGAGTCAGAAAACAAAAAGGCTGCGTGGCAGTTCTTGGGTTGCGGCCAAGGCATTGTTGGGTTTACCCCGAACCACTTCGGCACCAGGACCCGCGTGCTTCTTGTAACATCATTCCCGGGTTTAGTACGAGCCCTTCGCATCCAAGTTGTTTGCATTTTAGTCTAATCTCACAGGGGCTGGCCAGGGCAGCTCTGGCCTGTGCAAGAAAGAGGTAGTACAGCGGTGGGACGAGAGAAAAAACAGCCAGAAGGATGTCAGAGTATGGCCGATCAGATCAAAGGAGCAAGCGAGTGCAGGCCAGGAAACATGTGCGGTTGACAAGTATTGCTGCAATAATGGTATGCGCTTAGTGCACCACAACCGTACAAGTGGGCAGGTTGCTCACGTGCACGGTGTGGGCCAACTAAGTGTCAGCTTGTGTGCACGTCCAGTCATTGAGTGGGGTCGAAAACTTGCAAAAGTAGCAGTGTTTGGGCTGCGACCCAGCGCTTTCTTGGCGGACCCCAAACCTGCGATGACTGAGTGAGGGACAGACTTAGGAATGTGAAGGATCAGAGAGAGGTAGGGTAGACGCAATGCGGGCCACATGCAGTGAAAAAGCATAACGTCTGGCTCTCTGATTGGGTTCGTACCCTGGCTGGGGACCCAAGTGCGCACGATGTGCGGCTGCGAGAGGAGGGTCGGCTGTACCAGGGCCATTCAAAAGTAATTAGCACTATAGGGCTGCGACCCAGGACTTTAGAGGCGCACCCTAAACTTATGTTATGAGAGCGAGCAGCCAGCAGCGTGTTGGACACCGCGTCGGAGAAAAGAAGGGGTGTAGGGCGCACCAGTGAGAGAGGACGCGTAACGGGAGTCGGCATTTATGTGCACGTGGCTGCATATTGTGCATCGGCGAGGCTCAGCTGTCGCACTTCTGCGGTAATATATGAGGCAGGAGTACTGGAGATGTATGTCGTGGTGGGCTGCTACCGTTGTGTGCTCAGTCCATGGTTTGTCCTGTGCCGTTTCGGCTCGTAGTTTTGGGTTGGGGTGGAGTATTGTGGAGTATTGTACGGCTCGCCCTTGGCCTGGAAACAGCTCTGGCGCGCGGCGTCGGGGCTTGCAAGAAACGGGGGTCAATGTAAACAGGGGTACTCCTCCTCCTGTGCTGCTCCTCCTCCGCCTCATCCCTCCCCCTCCTCTTCCTCCTGCTCCTCCTCCTTCTCCGCCTCCTCCTCCAAGGACCGACTTTAAGCGGAGTTGCCTTCACCCTGGCCGCTGCTAAGTCAGACGTCCATGGGCGAAAGTTTTGAGGCAGTCCCAGGATTGGGCCAAGTCGTTCCAGAGCGCTCTCAGAGCGCTCTGTAGCGCTCTGGACGGCCGCGACATTTTGCGGAGTCGCCGGACCTCAGAGATCTCTGATTGCGAAGGCCTTATGGCCGGTGCCGCCGACCCTGAAGACGGCGACGATGAGGACGACGAGAACGTTGAGCATCTCTTGAATTGAAGGGTGAAAGAAGGGGTCTGCAACAGGGGGTGTGCAATGGGGGCTGAATGGCCCATGTATGCTCAATATATCGCTCGTGTGTGCGATCCGGTATGATTGGCATCGGATGTTGGCGGTCATGGAGGGCCAACATTCCAAAATGTGAATTCACATTTTCCGTTTCTCATAATGTGAATTCACATTTTCGTTTATCAAAAATGTGAATTCACATGTTGTTTTTCCCCACAATGTGAATTCACGCTTCGCCCTGGCCCTCGAGATCCCCCAAGCTGAGGCGCAGTGTTCCGCATGTCAGATTGGCTTGGCAGATTTTGACATTCACCCCGCCGCTTTGATTCCAACTTTCTCTTTTTGCGCCCTCAGTGCACGTTGCCTTCGTCGCCTTTTCCCCAGCCCCCCGAACCCTTACTTCGTTTATCCTCAAGTTTCGCGCATGGGTGCAGGCGGGGAGCGTCATGTGGTTCCCGCGCCGAACACAGCAATCGAGGATGTATTGCCCACGCGTGGCCCATCGGGACACCATTGCCGGGACCCTGCGCCCAACCCCCACATTCACCCTCCAATTGAGTCCGTCTGGGCGCCTCTTGGGACCCTCCTGGGGCGCTCTTGGGAGCCTCAGGGGCGCTTTGGGGGCCATCTTGCAGGAGATCAATCAAAGACGCGGGGTCCCTTAATCAAGGCCCTTCTTCGGGGAGTCGCCAGACTTCAGTGATCCCTGATTTTCCCTGGTTTGATTTTGTCCCAGTCCTGGCCTCGTCCTAGGAATGTGGGTTCGCCTCCCCTCCGCCGCGCGCAGTATCCAGCGCCACCCGGTAGCGGGTGCTCTGGCGGCGTTCCGGAGGGTGGCAGGAAATTGGCAGGAAAGCGCCGACTTGTTGCATCGGCCAGAATTCTCCGTTCACTGAGTGCCCATCAGGGTGGCGCTGAGATATCGTTCGTAAGGCTGTCCTCCGCTGCCCGCGACGGTCCGAGGGCGTCCCAGAGTTTCTCGGAGCTGTGGCGTGGTTCCTTGGCGCTGTGCTGTTCTTGCCCCGACATCCCGGACGCCCCTGCGATCGCAGGGCTACCCAGAGCATGTCGGAACCTTGGTCTCGGCGTGTTGGCGCGCTGCTAGTTTACTGGCACGACCTGACCTCGCATCATCCTGGGGCGAGCCCGACCAGCGGTCCCAAGCGATCCTTCCAGACCGATTCCGGCCCGATCCGGGCGCGACCCGACCGATTCCCGATCCGGTCCGAGGATTCGGTCCAGCTCGCTCGTGCTGGGCGACGTCGAGTTTCCAGGCTCGACGATCGGAGCTTTTGGCGGCACGTCCTCGGCCCCCGCTCCAGGGGCCTCTGGGCGCCCCGCGGGGGGGCCGCAAGCGCGGACATCCCACCGCGAGGTCTCGCTGCACTCCATGGCCGAGGCGTTCAACACGGACGTGGACGGCATGCAGAGCGAGGCACACGCTCGCCTTGGCGAATCGAGCAAGCGGGTGGCGCCAGGGGGCGGCCTTTTGGGAATCGAAGAACAAAACAACATATAACATGATTTCTCGGAGGTCCGCGCGGATTTCTTGGATCGGCGTTGGGCCACCCTGGCAGCGCCTCTGGCGCCGCCCTTGGCGCGCTCCGCGCGCCAGGGGGGAGATCCAGTGCCGATCCAAGAAGTCCGCGGTCCTCCGAGAGTTATGTTTTTTCCGTACTCCTCCAAAAAGGCTAGGGGTCGTCTCAGAAGGCAGGGAGGCCTCTCAGAAGAGCCAAGGGGCTGCTGAGAAGCGTGTTAGAAGCCCCTGGGCCCTTCTGAGACGTCCTCTGTCTTCGAAGGAGCCCCCTGCCTTCCTGCTTTTGTTTTATGTTCTGCGGGCAGAACTGCTCTAATTTGGAGATTGTTTTTTAGTTGAAACCGTAAGTCCGATACTGGGGTCGCCACCCCCGTGTGACGGTACCGAATGGACGCATGGGGGTTGCCCGCTCCCCCCTCTGCCCTCAGGTATGGCGTTCTGTTCACAAACATGCTTTGGTGCTGACATGAGCATGCTTCTTCATTGCTTACGGCATGACGGGTGTCATGGTCCCCCCCTATAACGTAACGCTCCCCCTCCCCCCAGGGCGCTCCGGGCACTGCCGCCGTGCGCAAAGGGATCCGCATAGGTCTCCGCATAGGAATCCGCATTGGAGTGTGGTCCGCATTGGGAATTGCATGGGGATCCGCATAGGGATTCGCATGCGCATCCGCATAGGGATCCGCGTAAGGATCCGCTAAGGGATGCGCATAGGGATTCGCATGGCAATGCGCATGGTCATCCGCAGGCATCCACATCGGGATCCGCATCGGGATCCGCATGAGCAACCGCACAAGGACCCGCGCATTGATCCGCATAGGGATCCGCCTAGAGATCGGCAGTGGGATTCGCATAGGGACCCGCACTGCGAAACTGTGATGTTGTGTTCTTGGTGAAAACTCTTCCTACTCCTCCTTCTCCTGATCGTTGCCCGTGGCCCCTGGTCGTGGCTCGTGCGCACAGGCGCTGTGGTGCACGCGGAAGCGCTAAAATTTTACCTAATCCCCTCGTCGTCATCGTCGTCGTCGTGGTCGTCGTCGTCGTCGTCATTGTCGTCGTCGTCGCCGTCGTCGTCGTCGTTGTCGTTGTCGTCGTCGTCTTCGTCGTCGCTCGTCGTTCGTCGCTCGTCGCTCATCGCTCGTCGTCGTCGTGCGCGCGGGCGCGGCTGTGGTGCCGGAGCCACACGGCGGGGGGGGCGCATTACGTCATACCCCCCATTCGACCCCCCCCCCATGACGCCCGCCATCGCCGAAAATAGAGAAACGCACTCCATGCATGCTTTGGTGTTCAAGAGCACCTGGAATGCCGTGTTGCTCCTGCGCCAGGAGGCGCCGGGAAATCTAGGAACGCCAAAATGCTGCTCCTGCTGCTCCTGCTGTTGCTCCAGTGCTCCTCCTGCGCCTTCTCCGGTGCTCTCCCTACTGCTCCTCTGCTGCTCCTCCTCTTGCTCCCCCTCCTATCTGCGGTTGCTGCTTTTCCTGCTGCTTTTCCTGCTCCTCACGTTGTTCCTCTTATTCCTCTGGGTGCTCCTCCTGCTGCTTCTTGTGTTGCACTTTTTGCTGTTCCCCCTGTTGCTCCTCCTGCTGCTCCTCCTCCTGCTTTGGTACAACCTTCCTGACCCTGGAATGGATAGGACAGGACACGACAAGGCCAGATTTTCTCCAAACCGATGCCACGGGTTCTCGCCTGCGCTTCTTGGGAAGAACCAATGGACAATTGCGCCCTCCTGCCTCAGGTTGCCGGTGGCCTCGGGAGGTACCCAGCTGTGCAAGCTAGCGTGCTGAATCCCCAAATGCGAAGTACAGCATCCCTCCAAGGATCCGCGATCCGAAGATAACAATGGACAGAACTGTTATAAGACTGCCCTGGAGCATTTTTACAATACAGCTAAAACCCGAACTCCTCAGGACAGTTCCTGTTTGGAGGACGATGGGCATAACTAGAGCCGTTGGGGACAAATCCATGATTGCTGTTGACCCAACCGCTGCAACCTTCGCAGCAGCAGTACAGACAAGCGCGAGATGGCTCTTCCCGAACGCGAGGGCGGTGTTCACCGGAGGCTGGGTACCCAAAATTCGTTCCATAAACAGGAGCAACAAATCGCAAATCAACGCTGCCGGAGCCCGCATCGGGACCGCTGCCCCCTGGATACACCAAGTCGCAGATGCGACGATGCGAGGGTGAAGGCATATCTCTGGAGCGCACGGGCCTGCGACGCTATTGGAAGCCAAAACTCACAGGGCCCAAACGTGCAACGACTGCCCCCTTCTTGGGCTCACGGCCACACACCTACTGGGGAACGGGAGGCAAGTGGGGAGCGGTGCAGTTACCAAGCTAGAGGCTCAAATGACGAGGCGCGGCCTGTTGGCAATGTCCCAACAGAGCGTGTTCCGGAAAACTTCCCTGAACGCGCTGGCAGCAGTCGGAGTCGCGAACTCCCACGATAGGGAGCAGCCACAAGGCCATCCGGCCGAATCCTCATCTCATTCGCCGCGGACATGGCCGTGGAGCTGGGCGGTCTCATCGATTTCGCCCGTGCCCGAGGTCGCGCTGAGGTCGTCTCTCTTCAAGATGTCGCTCAAGAACTGCTGGGTGACCGGCGTCGCGATCATCACCTGGAGCCACCCGTCCACGGTCCGCCCCCATGCTCTCGCGGCAGCCTGTGGGCGCACGACGTTCAGAAACTCCTGGAGCATCGGCGCTGGGAAGGGCTCCTTGCCCGCGGGTGCCAGCGTCGCCGCGGCAGCCTCCGGAGCGCGGAGGGCGCGCGCGATCCCCCTGCCAACGGTTCCTGCTGCAGTTTTCGCGGGCGGCCGCACGGGCGCGACTTGGACGAGCACTGCGTCCAGGCCGCCCGCGGCCAAACCTGCGCCGCCCCGGGAACGCCCGCCTGAGCCCCGCGCGTTGTTCGCGCCGCGGTCGCCACCCTCAGGCCTGCCACTTTTGCCGCGGCGCGTGGGTCAATTGCCACACTTGCTCATCTGCTGCAGCGGATGCACGTCGTCGTCGCGATCGTCGGCAGCCGCGCTGCGAGGCCTTCCATCGGCCCTGCGCCGCCTGTGCTTGCGGCGCTGCGATTAAGCGCGCTTGAGAAGACTGCGTTCGGATATCGACGATTGCGCAGGTGTCTCGGTTTTCGCGCGTGTCAGCCGGTCCCCTGCAAGCCCCGGGAGTGGAGGCGGATGGCCGCGTCGGGGGGGTCTTTCCCGCCTGGCGCGGTCTTCTTCGTGCCCGAGACGTTCAGGATGGCATTCGTTGCCCTCTCGGTCATGGCTGTCATGGAAGACTCACGCTTTGCGGCCGCCTGCTTCTCTGCCTCTATCCGCCCGCGCGTCTGGTTCGTCTCGCGCAAGCTGTCGAGCTCGCCCCGCGACCAAACTGGCGCCCCGCCTCCCGCGCGAGATGACGCTTTGTGCCCGTGGTCTCGACATCGCGCCTGCTTCTGGAAGTTGCCAACTTGCCGATGCCCTTGCCATTGTTCCCGCCGGGCCCGCGCGGGCCCGAGGGGCCCCGTCGCGCGGCAACCTTCGCAGATGGGCGGGCGCGGGCGCGGCGACGGGGGGCGCGGGGGGGTCTTAGACGACATCCGCGCCCCGAGCCAGACAGAGGCGGGCAGCGCTCCGCTGCCGAACAGGGAAAGGGTTGGAGGAAGAATGGTGGCGACGACACCTGGGCACCGACGTCGCTGCTTCTTCCTGGAAGCCGGCCTCCTTAATTCTCGGGCTGGCGCACTTGCACGATGAAAGTCAAAATTGCCGAAGACGAGACAGGCGCGTGGATTGGCGCTCGCGGGGAAAAATCCCCAGTGCTGGCGCCGGCCAGTGGCCCCAGCTGCTCTGTCCGATCTTTCTTCGACGACCTGGTTGAACATGAGATCGCGGGCCCGCGGCCAACCGATCCGCGCTCTCGCGGTGAGCGAGCGCGACGCAGAGGCAAATATTGGAAATTTGGCAACCCGTCGATGTTGAGCCACGCGCCTCGCGAAGCTCGCATTCGGGATGAAAGCGAGCACCTGGGAAGTCTGCTCGGCGTCCGGGGCCGCCCTTCCCTGGGAGATGGGGCAACGGCAGCCCCTTCCCCCGCGTTGGCGATAGCCGCCTCCGGGGAGGCACTTTCCGCAAGCTGCGGCAGGCCCCCGCCTGCCTCGATAGCTTCGGACGGGGGCGTCGAGTCACGAGCTGATCTGCACGCCGAGGCGCGCGCCACCACGCAGGCTGCCGGAGCAAAGTTCGCGGCCCAGAACCGCGCGGATTAGGTCTGTTTGGCTGCGCGGGGGGGGGGGGGTAGGGGGCGATGGGGGGTTCGCCAGTTCATCGAAGATCCAGCGCCGTGGCCCCCTTAATCCACCCTCTCGTCTGCTGGACGCACTGCCAGCGACCCCTCGCCCTCGCCCAGGGGGTGGAGAAAGATTCGGCAGCATGTGCGGAGAGGGCCGAGGTGCCCAGGCCGACGGTGAAATCTGCGACCCCCCCCCCGCGTTTGCTCGCTGGGGAAATCCGCGACAGTTCCAAGTCGCGCAAAGTAACTTCGGCCGTAGCTGTTGACGGAGTGCATTGCAAGCATTTTTTCCCTTTCTGCCTGCTGCCGCGCTCGATTGCATGGGTGCCACATATTCTTTGTCATGGAGGCCGGCCCCAAGCTGTTTGCCACCTCAGATCGCGACGGTGGCTCTCGCGCTGGCCCCGAAGCCGGCTGGTGACTACAGGCCGATTGGGGCCCTCTGATCTTGGCTCAGGGTTCGGGGTCGCCGTCGGCGGCCCATCGCCATGAACTGGGGGCAGCAACGGTCCAGGAGGCGCTGGGCTGCGGGCCAGTTTCGGGAAGCGGCCGACGCGGTTCGGCGCCAACCTGTCACCTCTGAAGCCGGCCTGGCTCGCGGGGGGTCGCCAGGCAGCGTC